ACTGTTAAGATGCAGATAAAATGATAGATTACAGTGTTAAGAACTACGTTTATGAATCCTCTGGAGAAACAGTGAAATGTTTTTAGTGTGAGTGAAAAAGAAGACAAAATGATATGGACATTTCATGTTTTAAAAATGCTTTTATAGATAAATGGAGAAAAAGGCAGCAACATACCATTACACAAGAGTGGATTATGATTTCTAATTGCCTGGGACAATATGTTCTCACCATAAGGCTATGGAAAGAATGTTCTGTTGGCTTAAGAACAGAAAGCCACTATAGGTGTTTGACTCCAAGACTCATCAAAAGAGTTGAGGACACAAATTCGATGATGATAATGATGGCTCTACTACGACACAGGTTAAATTCTAATTAAAAGGCTTTTCAGCAGAAATTTCTATGAAGAACCATCTCTAGATTTCTGGAAACAATCTCTGGATAGGGCATTGTCTCAGAAGGAGTATGACTCCTAGAAAAATTAACTGGTATGAAATATATTTATGCAATGTTAATGCCAGGATTGCATTAAGTAGTAATTAAAAACAGCTGGAAAGTTGAACTGAGACAAATACCAATTGCAATAAAGTGCATATTATCTATTTAAGGCATATTATAAATCTTGTTTACAAAATAAGTACCATGACACTTAATAATAAAAGTGTAATTCTTTGGGTAAAAAAGAATTTTGAGGAGTAGGAAAAATCCAATCTGCTTTTCAGGACATGATGTGAATGTCAAAATAAGGAGTTTAATTCTCATTTCCCTTACACACGTTTAGGTAACATCTGCTAAGGCTCATAGTGTTAAATAAGCATTGTAAACCCTCTTGCTTATAAACTCAAATCTCCTCCATGCTGGAAAGATTGCCTGCAATTGTGTATGGAATAATGGAATAATATTGGTGATTGTGGCCAGGTCCAACTTAAAAACACTTGTCCAAGGAAGGAGGGAAAATTCTATTCATCATCCTTGGGGAAAGAAGACTAAACAGAGCTGACTGGCATGCAGCAAATCTTCCCCGCCTGAAACTGACAAACAAGACAGGCAGAAGTGGCACAGCATCAGCTTGGCTGGAGTAAAAGTTTTGGAGGAAAACTGTCAACAGGCAGGAATCTACATCCAGATCAGCAAAGAGGCCCATAAGGGGACCAAGTTTTGAGAGCTCAAGTTCTGTGCTCACAGCAATTGTTTGGAGAACTCTGACCCCACACAGTCCACGATGTTGAAGATTAGAGTCATATTTACCTAAATATTCAGGAGGCAAGCAGCCCCACAGGACATCAGAGCAAAACTGGGGCACTGGGCTAGGATCTTTCTTTTCTTTTCTTTTCTTTTTTTTTAACATTTAGTTATTTGGCTGCATAGCATATTGAATCCTAGTTCCCAGACCAGGGATCAAATTCGTGCCCCACCCACCTCCATTGGAAGCATGGAGTCCCAACCACTGGATCGTCAGGGAAGTCCCTGGCCTAGGATCTTAAAGCTGAGAAATGGGACTCTAGTGCAATGCGACATGAATGAAATTACTACCCTAGAGCTGAGCCAAGGGGTACCCTTGTCTTGATTGCCAAACTAGTGGACACACAGCTCTGGGAAGTAAGATGACCATTATTACAGGGACCACGATGATGCTTGGGTCAGAGAACAGTGTTAGTGCTTGGGTCAGAGGACAGTGGTGACATAGCCCCAAGACCAACATGAAAATGTGAGGTAATCATGGCCCCTCCAGGCAGGTAGATAACAGCAGAAAGCAAAGAGCATTTACTGATACATTGGCCAGGGCAATGGAGGCCAAGAAATGAACTCATCAACCAGCCAATCAAAGGAAATCCTGCAGCTTGGTGGTTAGTATGACACTAAGTCCTGAGAGAGGAGAGGAGAACCTTGAAAACCCAGCTCAAGATAACTGAGAAGAGTCTTCATTCTGCTTTGTTTGCCGGGACAGACCACTCCAGAGCCCAACATCCTCCTAAGGGGTAACTATCAAGCAAGCCCAGAGCCCACAGGTCACAGGTACCTGGATGCTAGCACATAGATGCTAGCCCAGATAAGGCTCCTGAGGAAGGTAGTGCCAGATTAAGGAGGAAGATTTTGAGCTGAAGTTAGAATGTGCCACTGAAATATTCCAAGGGAGGCAGGTCTCAGATGTGGAGAAGCAATGGTGATGGATAGAAAAATCGCCCGGTCCAGAATTAGAAATTACACAAAGTCAGAAGTCATGAATCTCTCTGTCTCCAGGGCAGAATAACACTCAGACAGGCCTGCAGGACTGTGGATGGTGCAGGGGTCCGCATGGCAGGTTTCCGAACACACTGACAGGAAGGAGAAAAGATCTCAGTGTAAAACCATCCCAGGCTTTGGCAGTAAGCTGGATACCCATCCTTCATGATTTTAATCTGGAAGATCAGACCCAGTTGGAGCAAAGTGGAAAGAAAATGACTGACAGTGAGATGCAGTTCAAGAAACCAAACCTGCACAAAAAGGCTGAGACTTTCTGCTGCCAATTCTTGTGAATTTAGGAAAATAGACATCTGTTTCCCACAGGACACCTGCTAGCCTTAGAAAACCAACCTCACAGAGATCTGGAAGCTTAAGCTCAGATTCCCAGACCCAAGCTTATGCAGGAGGCTGAACCCCCAACCAGGCAGTGTCCTCAGGTGAGGTCCTTCTTAGGTTCCTCACTTCTGGTCAGACGGGTCTTCAGAACTCAGAGGCTCATTTCTTTCCAGGTTCATGTGTGGTCTCCCAGGCAAGCACACCCATCAGGGTCAAGATATTTATAGTACAGATTTAAGAATATATCAATACAAAGTGGTACCCAAGATTTTTTGAAGTAGAAAATCATCACACAGCCAGGCTATGCCATGAAAGAGACCCCCAAGCGCAGTCCCAGAGAAGAGCGCTTCCCATCACCTAAGGAAGAAGCAGTATTGGGTAAGGATGGCCAGAGGACAAATTACACGCTATTTCTTGTCTTTTTCTCATTCATTCCCCCAGAGAGATCATCTGCATTAGATGATCACATAAAATGGAAATACTTTTCTATCAGATATAATAAGATGGAAAAACATATGTTTATTACAATTTCAGGAAATTATATGAAATGAAAAATGACCTGCTTGGTTGGTCCCTGAAAAACAATTCAAAAGAAGTAGGGAAATGATGCAGGTGGGGAAAGAGTGAAGGAATAGATTGTGCCTCCAGAGTGGCTTGTAGGGGAGGGAATTCTCCTTCTGAGACCCTAGTTAAGGACATCTGCTGATCAAGGACAGGAAAGGAGGAAGGATGCAGGACAATGGTCATATTCAGCGGTGAGTCTCCACTACGACACCCTACATCCTGCACACGATGCAAACAGCAGGCCTCTCAACCCAGGTTCCCACAAGACTGGGATGAAGGTGACAGGAACAGAACAGGAGTAGAGATGGGGGCCTCCACTAAGGAAAAACACTGGAAAAAATTACAGAGAGTGAGCTCAGCCCTTTCACAGGCCATTAATTTGGGGCAAAACTCTAAGCACCAAGAAAACTTCTGAGTTTATGAGACTCTATTGAAAAATGGAAAATAGGTTTCCCTAGTCACGAACACACTGCCTAGTTCAGAATAGAAATTCATTCAATATTTATTAAAGCAGCAGTGGCTTCAGTTTTAAACTTTACATATCCACTCCATGCCAAGATCTCCATCCCTGTTTTGAAGCATCTAAGAGGCACGGCCTCCTCTCAGCAACACCTGCTCATATAGCAGTTGACACTAGTGCAGTAGATGCCCCGTGAGGAGAGCCAAGACAGGAAGAAAGGATGCTACACTCCTAGATGGCACCAGGTTGGAGGTTCAAAACAGTGGATATACAGGATGTCGATGTATTTGTTGAGAAACAAGAAAGATGTTTTTATTCATACCACAAACCTGTGTTAAACATTTTGTTATACATATTTCAATATAATTACTTCCCCTTATACTCCTAGATACTTACTTTTTATTGGGTATAATTTACACATAATAAAAAACGTGTATGAGTTCAATGACTTTTTTCTTTGATTTATTCAAGCAGATAACCCTTTATTGCCTATTAAATGCAGGCTGAGTTATCCCACAGGTGAGTTTTTTCTTAATGTCTTTTTTTAAAGATCTGAATAGATGTTTTACAAAATAAATACAGATTACCAATGAACATACAAAAATATGCATGCCAATATCTTAACCCTGCAGAAAGATTTTTTTTAATTCTTGCCAAAGATGAATTTTTTTTTTCAAGAACAATGTGGGGTTTTTTCGCTTGTTTGTTTGTTTGTTTTTCAGCTGTATGGATACCTTGGTACAGTAATACTTCCCAGGGCCTGCAGTGTTAAAGCATCAGCCTGCCAATGCAGGAGATGCAGGAGACACAGGTTTGATCCCTGGGTGGGGAAGATCTCGTAGAGAAGGAAATGGCTACTCACTCCAGTATTCTTGCCTGGATAATCCCTTGGATAGGGGAACCTGGCAGTCTACAGTCCATGGGGTTGAAGAGAGCTGGACACGACTGCAGGGACTTAGCACGCACAGTGACCCTATGAGAAAGAGCAGGCTATAGGGCCTGTAAGGGCTATAGTCCATGGGGTCACAAAGAGTCAGACATGAGTTAGTGACTGAGCGCACACACAAACATTATGGAGTGGGGCTGCAGTATCATATGCTAACTCCAGTTTTAGTATTTCTTAGAGACCCTCCGCACTGCTTTCCATAGTGACTGCACCAACTTACATCGCAGTCAACAGCGCAGGAGGGCTCCCTTTTCTCCACACCTGCTCCAGCATTTATTATTTGTAGACTTTTTACTGATGGCCACTCTGACAGGTACTTCACTGTAGTTTGATTTACATCAGTGATTTTTGACAGTTGCAAATATCTATGTAACCACCACCCCAATCATAATAGAGAACATTTCCAAAACCTCAGAGGGTTCCCTCTTGCCAAGCCCCAACCCAAAAACAATCAACCACAGCCCCGACCTCTATCACCACCGATGAGTTTTGTTTATTCTCAAACTTCACGTGCATTCTTTCCTGTAGGGTTTCTTTTGCTGGACACAATATTTCAAGGTTTGCGCCACAAGTCACCTATGGAGCGGATTAGTCAGGTAGGAAAACTGCACTTGGGAAAAGTTAAGGGGGTTAAATAAATTGGCCACAAAGTTGTGGCAGAGATTAGAGAATGTACAAGCACCCTGGAATCAGTAAGGACCAGGATCCCTGAGGAAGGGGGCAGGGAGGGCCGCCCCCTGAGCCAGAAGAGAGCCCTTGGCTGGGCCACTGACAGTCTGGAGAGCCCTGCAGGAGAGAAGCCGGAAGAAACACACCATTTCTTCTCCTTCTGGTTGACCCGCTGACCCAACACAACTTCAGCCGGAGGATGGGAGGACCTGTAGGTTTCCTTCCAGGAGGCCCTTCCGGTGAGTTGGAGGAACCTAGAGGGGAAAACAGATCCATCCTGATTTACAATGTATTTAGACCACACCAGGTGGTGCTAGGTTCGATCCCTGGGTCGGGAAGATCCCCTGGAGAAGGAAATGGCAACCCACTCCCCTATACTTGCCTGGAGAATTCCATGGATGGAGGAGCCTAGCGGGCTACAGTCCACGGGATCGCAGAGTTGGACACGACTGAGCGACTACCGACATCACATGCAGGCGGCGCTCGTGGAAAAGAAGCCGCCTGCCGATGCAGGAGACATAAAAGACGTGGGCGTGATCCCTGTCCCGGGAAGGGCCCCGAGAGGGGACGGGACAACCCGCTCCAGTATTCTTGCCTGGAGAATCCCGTGGACAGAAGAGCCTGGCAGGCTGCAGTCCATGGAATCGCAGAGTCAGACACGACTGAGCGACTTAGCACAGCACAGCACAGTACTGGGTCAGGAAAGACAGAGTGCTCCGGCATGAGCCTTAGTCCAAAGGCAAAGACACCTCCTTGTCTTGCACGTCATGAGGTCATGCTGCCTGGAGGGATGGCATCTAAGACAGAAGCTTCGCAGCATCTGGGCAAGAACTCTGGCGCTGAGAACCACGGAGCAGGGGCAACAGAAGTGCACTGGCGGCTGCCGAGCCCGTGCCACCCGCACGTGTGGCTCTCGACCGCTGGGAGACAGTGGAGGGGAAACAGGTTCTTAGGGCAGTAAGCAGCGGCGTAAGTGTGGGGCTGGGCGCTGATGCAACCCCGCGGCAGGCCAGGCCCTCCGGCACGTTTAGGAGAAATCCAGAGATCGGGCGAGGTGTAGAGCTGGAACTAAGCTTGGCCCGTAGGAGGAGCAGGAAGACTGTAATCTAACCGAGGGAGGAGCACGGTTGGGAAGGTTCTAGCTAATTAGCTCCCGCCCTCTGACTCCCAGGAGCCTGTCCACTCAGCTGCAGGTCTTACTGATTTTTTCCTCGTGATCCATTGCAGAACCCTCTTCTCGCTGCCACCATCACAACGCTGGTCTGAGCGGAACGTCTCTCCAGATGACTCCAGTCACTTCCTGCTGTTTTCGTTGTGAGTCATCCACCTTGCCCTCTGACCCAGGACAGATTTTCTTTAAAATCTGTTGTGATTCTATCTTTCTTAGTATCTCTGGAATGCAACTCAGAATTTCAGTATTCCCCACTTTTGTCTTAATCTCTTACCCTCCCCTTGCCTTTTTTTTAAATTAAAAAATATTTGTATGCTATTTATTTATTGAAGTGTAGGGGCTTCCCTCGGGGTCAAGTGGTAAAGAACCCACCAGCCAACGGAGGAGACATGAATTCTATCCCTAGTTTGGGAAGACCCCTTGCAGAAGGAAAGGGCAACCCGCTCCAGTATTCTTGCCTGGAAAATACCATAGACAGAGGAGCCTGGAGGACTGCAGTGCATGAGGTCACAAAAGAGTCAGACGTGATTTAGTGACTAAACAACAACACTGAAGTGTAGGTGGTTTACAATGTTGTGCCCCCTGCCTTTTTAGCTATGAGAGCATTGTGGAGACCTACCCTCTTATCCAATTTACAAGGGCGCAACACAGCATGGTGAGCTGTGGGCACCGGAGTTTGGCAGATCTCTAGAACCTATCACTGTTACAAAGCCTTATCACCTCAAAGAGGACAGTCTGCGGCCTAAACTGGAAGCTCACCTCCCCGCTCTACGCCTTTACTTGCCCCCCACGCCTGAGATGCCCCTGCACTTTGGTGGGCGAGTTTCCTTTCTCCCTGTATCCCCCCGCAGCCTGTCCTGCTCACTCAGGTGTCCGCTCTCCTCGGCTGCAGGAGATAACTGCTGTTTGCGTCCATGCGGTGTTAACCCTGCCGGGCTGCGACTTATTTACACTCTAGCCTCACCGCTACACTTTCTGAACCATCTCATTCTTCCATAACAGGTATCTGGGGTTAATAGTGAATGCCATGAGTGCGCTGAGGTCCTCACGGAGTCTCTGGCATGAAGTGGGTCCTAAACACAGAAGCACTGTTCAGAGTAGGGGGTCGTTTCAAAGGGAAGGCGGGGACAGATGGAGGGAGGGGAGAAATGCAGGAAAGAGGGAAGGGAGGCAGGTGGAAGGGATATTCCAGGTACGTGAGGCAGAGGATGCAGCATTGTAAATCAACTATCATCTAGTTAAATAAATAATCTGAATTTAAAGAAAAGGCAAGAGGGAGGTGGGTTAGAGATTAAGACAAAGGAGGGGAATACTGAAATGCTGAGTTTCATTCCAGAGATGTTAAGAAAAGTCTCGTATCAAGGGACTTACAGAATCACAACAGATCTTCAAGAAAATCTGTCTTGTGTCCATGGGTGACATGGGTGACCCACAATGAAGACTGGAAGTGACTAGAGGCATCCAGGAGAGAGCTTCAGATCAGAGCAGGGTGGTGGCCCCAGCAATGAAAAGAGACAGTACAGAGATGAATTGTGAGGGAGAATCAATAAGATCTGGCAATTGGATGGACAGGGTCCAGGAAGAACCACGTGGAATGGAAAAGTAACCAATAACTTGAGAATGTCAGCAGGGGTGGGCGGTCTTGGGCAGAACCCGCCATGGAGGGAAACGGCAACATTGATTTGATTTGGACAAACTGCATGGAGGTTGCTGCAGGCCACAGAAGGAGGAAGCAGAGGGAGCCAGATGGAAAAGCCATTCTCAGAGAGGTGACTGGCCAGGTGCCGTGAGGGGACGGATTGCTGAGGGAAAGAGGATACTGACCAGAGAAGAGGCTGAAATCTTGGGGCCCCTCTGTCCTCAGCTTCTCAGCCACCAGCCACACTGCAAAGATGCAAGGATTTAGCAGTGCTCAAATTCCTGGCTGGCTGGGGTTTTTGGCCAGAGGACATTTCTGAAGCACAGCAACACTCCTTAAACCCCAGCCGGCCTGCACACTTTAAGTCAGAAGCTGCCACTGGCACTCGGCTTCTAGACTAGTCTTGATTTGCTTAAATCAAATCGTCAGGAATCCTGCTTCTGGGAACTGCTGAACCAAACTCTCATTAAACATGCAGCCCTGAAGTTTGTTTTTGCGATTTTCTTAAGGGTAACAATTAACCTTTAAAAAGTCTGACCTTTCCAAAAAGGTAGCCCGTAGTTGGTGGGAGCTCTCTGAGGTGTTGGGTAAATGTTGCAGAGAAGGGATGGCCTTGTAAGAAGCACGGACAAGTACCGCTATGGTTTCCTTAATACTTTCCCTCTTAGAAATGATTCGATTTGTTCATACTTTTTATTTGCGAAATGAAACCACCCAGTGGAGTCTGGGGGACGGCCTTGAGCACAGTGAGAATCCTGCTTCCCAGAGGAAGAGGTGAGGCCTGCGGAGAGGTTTTCTTCTCCACAGCTCCCCAGGCGGTGCACGTGAAATGGCGGAGACTCATCTGAGATTTTCTTAAAGCTTTCTGGCAGCCACCACCTCCAGACTCAGCCTGTCCTAGCCCAGATCAGTGGGAAACCAGCCCAGCAGCCTGCAGGCCCTCCTTCCTGGCCACCAGCCTCTCCTATGCAGCATTCATGCAGTTCCCCATTGAGGGGAATCTTTCTTCCTGCAAGCCTCCCGTTGTCATTCCCTGATAAAAACCCCCGCCGTTCTCAGCCTGATCCTCAGTGAGGGCCCTGGGATCTGGCCTCTTCTCACATCTTCAGCTGTATAACTGCTCTCAGACCCTGCCTCTCCCAGCACACACACACACACACACACACACACACACATGCTATTCCTGTGGCTCCCCAGCTCCCTTCACACACTCTCTGCTCCCCAAGACTTCCAGTTCTTTGCAGGCTGATGCTTAACTTACCTTTCCTTTGAACTCATTTCCTCCCCTGCAGAGCCTGCTCTGCCCAGTTCCTCAGAACTGGGCACCGTTGACATGCCTGGAGCATCTTCCAGATGCCCGTCCCACAGCAAGAACTCTGCTGTCCTATTCATCCTCTGAACTGGTGCCAGCTCCCAGAGAGCCATACACAGGCATGACCCTTCAAGAATGTTTATGCAATCAGTACAAGAATGTTTCACTGGTGAAACGTTCTCTAAGGATTAGTCCTCTAAAGTACAGAGGCACAATGTTCTTAGACTCTTTCTGGAAAGTGGAAACATTTCAAGCATCCAGAATATTCTAACCAAGACGGTGCATGCAGATGAGTTTAACTGAAGAGGAAAGGACAATTTACAAAGGGCAGTGTTACTGGAATCCACGAAGGCTAGGGAAGCACCCAGGCCTGAAGAAATGAAGAAAGAGAAGAATCCCTGAGCCCGAAGGAACACTTGACAGGCAGGTGTCATCTCCTCTCTGATGGTTCTCGGATGTGGTACCCAGACCAGCAGCATCAGCATCACCCAGTCCTCAGTCTGCATTGCAGGCCTACAGGATCAGAAGCTCTGGGGATGGGGATCTGCCATCTGTGTTAGAACGGCCTCCCAGGGATGCTGGCACACATCAAGGTTTGGCATCTCCTGCTGCGGACTCCAGATCAGCAGTTGATAGACTATGGCTAGACCAGACATGCTCTGCTGTCTGTTTTGTTATAGCCCATGAGCTAGGAATGACTTTACATTTTCAAATGGTTACATTTTAAATGGGTCTATAATTACCTAAATCATAGCCTTAACTTCATCTCCTGTGACACAAAGCTTGAAATATTTACCATCTGGCACTTTACAGAGTTCACAAGCCCTGCGCTAGGAAAACACAGTTAGGGATCGAGAACCACTTTGCCTCCGTTCCCCATCCTGATGCCTGCATGGGCCAAACGAAAGCCAGAGAGCTTGGGAAGAATTGCCAGAACTGAACTCCTGGATCATGGGGCAGAGGGAGCTGGAGGCTGACAGGGGTAGCATGGGAAGGAATAACAGAGGGCCACCCCACACAGCATGCTGACACTGATTTTAGACTTCACAAAGACAGTCATCTCCTTGTACAACAATATGCATCTTCTGAGAGAGGTGGGAAAGCAGTGGAAGAGGACAAAGGCCTG